TTTCAAAAATCGTTGATTCCTACATCCTGTGTTAGCTATAATAATTAGCCCTGATAATGATTAAGTAAATAACAATTTTTTATTGATGGCCGTCTTGACCCTAACAACACATGGATGTCCTAGGTACGTCCATTTTTTGTCCCGCGGTACAAGGACATGATTGGGACATCCGGGGGATGTCCTGCAGTGGTTGTCCAGTGGACATCCCGCCCGATACATCCCTACCCAGACAGCACTGGATATTCCTAGAATATTCTCTAAATATGCTAAAAAGGAGGAGTATATTCTGAATATTCATCGATTATTCCTAGAATATATACATGCCTCTGGAACATCTAGAAGGAATATTCCAAAGTGATGTTCAGGGAATATTCAGGTATGAATTTTCCAGGAATATTCCCAAATGAATATTCTCTCTTGTATATTCATGAAATATTCCCAACTGAATGTTCTATGGGGTATATTCATGAAATATTCTCAACTGGATATTCTGTGCGGTATATTCATGAAATATTCTCAACTGAATATTCTGTGGTGTATATTCATGAAATGTTCCATGAATATTCCTATGTTTCTCAATACATAAATACCCATCATTATTTCAGAGTTGTGAGTATCGAACATCAAAATTAGATGTAGGGGGATTAACAAAAAGTGTTTATGATCCGATTTCGAACTTCGCTCTCACAAGAAATTGATATGTACAACATTATTCAATTCGATTACTGGCTTAGTGGTCAAGGCGTTGGTCTGATAGTCTCGAGGTCACGAGTTCGATCCCTACTAGGGTCACTTTTTTTATTTAAGAATATGTTTATTGGAATATTCCAGGAATATTCAACATGGAATATTCTTTTGGATATATTCTATGAATATCTGAGGAATTCCCATTCGCATATTTAGAGAATATTCCACAGATATTCTGGAATATTCCAGATCATTTCTAGAATATTCCAATATTCCAAAAGGAATATGATAGGGAGATTCATGGAATATCTGATAGGTTATTCTATTCGTGTCCCTGTAGTATCTCCCAGACAGCACCAGATATTCCATGAATCTCCCTATCATATTCCTTTTGGAATATTGGAATATTCTAGAAATAATCTGGAATATTCCGGAATATCTGTGGAATATTCCCTAAATATGCGAATGGGAATTCCTCAGATAATCATAGAATATACCCAAGAGAATATTCTATGTTGAATGTTCCTGGAATATTCCAATAAACATATTCTGAAATAAAAAAAAGTGACCCAAGTAGGGATCGAACTCGTGACCTCACGACTATCAGAGCAACGCCTTGACCACTAGGCCAGTAATCGAATTGAATAATGTTATACATATCAAGTTCTTATAAGAGCATTGTTCGAAATCGGATCATAAACACTTTTTGTTTCAAAATCCCCTTACATCAAATTGATGTTCGATACTTACATCTCTGAAATAATAAATGGTATTTATGTGTTGAGAAACATAGGAATATTCATGGAATATTTCATGAATATACACCACAGAATATTCAGTTGAGAATATTTCATGAATATACCGCACAGAATATTCAGTTGGGTATATTTCATGAATATACCGCACAGAATATTCAGTTGGGTATATTTCATGAATATACAACAGAGAATATTCAGTTGGGAATATTCCTGGAAGATTCATACCTGAATATTCCCTGAACATGTCCGACTATTCACTTTGGAATATTCCTTTTAGATGTTCCTGAGGCATGTATATATTCTAGGAATAATCGATGAATATTCGGAATATACTCCTCCTTTTTAGCATATTTAGAGAATATTCTATGAATATCCAGTGCTGTCTGGGCTGATATCCATTCACATCAGAGTCATTGAATTTCATCAAACTATTGAGTTGAATTTTTTAGAAAATGTTTGTTTCTCTTCCGGAAAATGATTGTAATGAAAATAAAGAATAAAGTCTCAGAACTTCTTAAGAAATTACCATTTTTCGCAGACAGAAATCGTACATGCATAATGCTCCTCATTTTTAAACAGCCAAGAATGATAATAATTATACCCAATTCCTGATAAAGTTGTATTTATTCAGGTTTCTGTAGTTAAGTCCAGTTTATAAATCTGTTTAGTACATGAATCTTCAGGAGGCATGATAGCCAATGGAGCAAGGTGCGTGCATGATAAGCCAAAGGTCCCGGGTTCAATCCCTACTCGACCTGGAACTTTTTTCTTTTGTCGAAAGGATGTCCCTGGGATATCCTTGGGACGTTCTAGGGATATCCTTTCATCGTACTTGGTACATCCCAGGGACGTACCAGAAGGACATCCCTTGGATGCCTTTTTTAGCGGCCAGCGTATGTCCCTGGGACATCCCTAGTATGTATACGTTGTCCCGACAAAGGACATCCCTGGGATGTCCTAGTATAAAATCAGGGACGTCCATGGGAAGTCCCTAGGATGTACTGGTGTTGTTAGGGGACTGCTGGTGGCAGGTAGTTTTAACGTTCTATGCTTTCTGACTACGTTCTGCGATTGTTTGGGGCAGATCACATGGTCTAGATGACCTTGGAATTTATCGAAATTGTAAGAATCGATGTGAACTCATGGGGATTCATTTGAATAAATCACATTTTGTTTGGGTTCATGCGGTAGCTCGATATTTTGTTTTTGATTGGATCATTTTTGGACTCACCCTGTTTTCATTTGACTCAGGATTATTTATTCGCCGTGTAGCATGTTTTCTTCATCTTGTTATTGTATCTCATTTATTTGCGGTTGATTATTGATGCTCGACTTTTGGTTAGACCGCTCGCCGACTTCGAGGCTGACGACCATATTTTCACTATATTTGAGCTCAACTTTTCATATGGATATTTACATGGAAAAAGTGGTCAATATATGAGGCCGTTCTCTCCTAGCTTATTTACTTATATTTGTGTAAAAGCAATGACAAAACGATTTTTTCTGAAAACTTCGACAGTGAAAATGCCCATCCTGTATAGGTATAAGGTACGTCACTATAACCTAACGGTTTCTCATGATAATGTAAGTATAGAAGGTTTAGATATGGTCTGGGAAACATGGACGTCGACAGGACGTCCCTGCAACGTCATGTAACTGACGTATCATTTTACCCTTCTAAGTTCACTCGACTTCGAGATGATGACGTGGTTATCACGTCATAGAAAGTACGTCATAGCGACGTCATAATTGGTGTGTGACGTCTATGACGAAAAATCACCAATTAGGAACGTCACAGTGACGTGATCATTCGTCGTCGTCTGGTTGCCTGGGAAATTTTCACGAATAAACTGATTGTGCTTTGGCATTTATTGGAATAAGTGGTATTCACTTTAAAAATGTTTATAGATGCTGCATGAAAGCGATTTCCTAGCTCATATGAGATACCGAATTGGAGAAACAAAATGTGCTACCTGGTTTCGACAGCCAATTAACACTGAGGGTCAAGAGACTATAATAACCAACAAGCAATGTTTTATCAATGTTTATGAACATATCATGTGACAATTATATGTCATACACTCCTTTTACGTTTTTTCGCAACCATTGCACTTGATATGTTACAATAACTATTCATATGCAGTTTTTGTTTCATTTCATACATATGTTTCGTTCGGAACATTTTTCATGAGATATATACAGGGTGTCCCTAGACCAGTGGGACAGTTGAATATCTCCTGAACCAATAGGAATTTTCAAAATATTATAATTTCACATCATATCGCATTATGAGGGCTAACTTCAGGAATGACTTTATTTAATACGAGGAGCACAAGAAAGTCTCACAAAATCCAACAACATTTTTTTCAAATGGAACACCCTGTATTTCATTGCATTATCATATTCTCCTTGTAGAGCTGAATTCAACGATCTAGCACACTTGGGGTCTAGCGGGTGTGATTTCCGAGATATATAATAGGGTGTGGAAAATCGAGATTTTTCATTTTTGGGAATTTTTTGTGTCAAAACTATTCATTATTGGTCAAAACGGCTTACATGTTCATATCTCAACTTTTGATTTACTATTTACTCGTATTTAATTGAAACAAATACAGGGTGGTGTAGAATTCTCAGTTTCAGTCAGAATTCTACACCACCCTGTATTTGTTTCAATTAAATACGAGTAAATAGTAAATCAAAAGTTAAGGTATGAACATGTGAGCCGTTTTGATCAATAATGAATAGTTTTGACAGAAAAAATTCCCAAAAATGAAAAATCTCGATTTTCCACACCCTATATCTCGGAAATCATTCCCGCTAGACCCCAAGTGTGCTAGGTCGTTGAATTCAGATCTTCAAGAAAAATATGAAAATGCAATGAAATACAGGGTGTTCCATTTGAAAAAAATGATGTTCGATTTTATGAGCATTTCTTGCGCCCCTCGTATAAAATATAGTCATGCCTGAAGTTAGCACTCATAATGCGATATGATGTGAAATTATAATATTTTGAAAATTCCTATTGGTTCAGAAGATATTTAACTGTCCCACTGGTCTAGGGACACCCTGTATATCTGAATGCATGCATACACAATTATCTTATGTTTCGAATGCATTTCTATGAAAACGTTTATTTACACCTAGATGTTTTCTGGTGTCTGATATGTTTTACAAACGTGTATGAGTCAAAAGTTGAGACGCTTATTAAGTGGAAAATAATTGGTTTCAGAAATGTGTCAGACACATATTTTGGTTTACTGGGTTTGAATTGAATTCCTGGAATGCTTCATTTCTGATATATCTCAACTTCGTCATTATCTTGAGTGTGTATAATAAGTTTATATCATAATCATTTTTGGTGATTTGTTACGGGCGGTACATCCGAATTTTTCAGCTCATGTTAAAGATTGGGACAAAACTTCGAAAATCACGAAATGTGTAGATAACATATTATTGAATGGTGCGATTTTATTCTTGAATTTGAGATATATAGGCATTCAAACTTTTGAATGAAATGACATCAAGGAACTTCGCATGCAATATTTCGTGAAAATCCGTTGGCTACTCGATAAGTCGTCTCAGATCATAAGATTCAAGAATGCTATTAAATCATTCATGTTTGTTGTCAAAAAGCATTCAAACGAATTTATATTCGAGATCGTCTTCACAAATATCGAATAGTCACATATATTATAGAAGCTGGTGGGTGGGTATTTATAGTATTCTCGAAATATGATGAAATAGTTGTTTTGAACAAATGTCAGGATACAAATAATGATTGAACAAAATGTTGTTTTTAGTGCAAAATAATGTATTCAAAATTCTCGTAGCAGAGCGCTTTCGACTATACAGTCATTATCAGTACATACCTGTATGTAATCAGCTTTTAGCTATTGAGAATAGCAGTTTTTTATTATATGAATCTCTTGAAGCGCACGAAAGGAAATTCCGATAATGTTCGTGGAACATCATGCGTACCTAGGGAGGATAGGCAGAGGAGGTAGGTGTTGGAATTTGTTTTGAACTTTTGGAGATAATAGGTTCTTGGGAATACATAAGAAAAAAATGGAAGAAAGCGCTCTGCAACGAGAATCGACATCATTTGGCCACTATTCAATTCATTTGGTAATGATATGTATTGTACTAAAAGCTATTGAGAAAGAAACAAACGATTGAAATGATACAATATAATAAATACACTTTAACATTCATTCATCATCAATATTTTTCTTCTTCTTCTTCTTAACCATTTTCAAACCGCTGCCATATTCTGAAGTAGTCAGACTTAATGACTTTATTTTCCTCTTTTGTACGGACTTTTGTGGTTTCTCATCCCTGAAAATTGAAATAAATAATCATGAATATTGCAAAAAATTTAGGAATACTTCAGGGAACACGATAACGACTATCAAAATAATGCCTATCAAATCATGGAAAAATATGCAGGGTCGTCAGTTTCTAGGTCCGGTTAAATGCAAACATGTCTTATATTGCAGCGGTGACTAGAAAAACTGTCATCCTCATGTACGATATATGATCTGTATCCCAGGTAGCACAAATTGTTCTAATAATAGTCAAGAAACCTCCCAAGCGAAAATACCATAGATATGTCCTCAACAACTAGTTGATAATTTTTAATATACTTTTGTGTCAAATATTAAACAATATCATTTATAAGTGTACTAGTTTTCTGTACGAGCATTTCCACATTTTATATGTTCTGTATTTCATTTATATATGTTGAAATAATATTCTTATATGGTACTAGTCCTTATGTTCCTATTCACCTCATAGTTATTTGTTTTAATATTTTCGTATGAATATATATATGTATGTACCTACAAACAAGTATTTTATATACTTCGTAGGATGATCCATGGATCATTATTTGTTTATTCCTCTACAGAGCTGTTGTTTATTAGTATTATTATTATTATATTATGAATATTTCGAGAATATGTGAATATTTTCAGAATAACTCAAGAATATTATTTTAGGGTGATTTGTGAACATCCTCAATAGTATATTCTGAAAATATATTCCAATATTTAATATATGTATAATTCGTTTGGATAACCTTATAATATATATTATGAAGAATATTCTGGCGGTTCTGGTGGCCGTGACCGCCAGTGGACAGCCGAAAGACATCAGGAGTTATATAGATAGATAGATAGATAGATAGATAGATAGATAGATAGATAGATAGATAGATAGATAGATAGATAGATAGATAGATAGATAGATAGATAGATAGATAGATAGATAGATAGATAGATAGATAGATAGATAGATAGATAGATAGATAGATAGATAGATAGATAGATAGATAGATAGATAGATAGATAGATAGATAGATAGATAGATAGATAGATAGATAGATAGATAGATAGATAGATAGATAGATAGATAGATAGATAGATAGATAGATAGATAGATAGATAGATAGATAGATAGATTGATAGATAGATAGATAGATAGATAGATAGATAGATAGATAGATAGATAGATAGATAGATAGATATATCTTTATTTGACTACGTGATGTATAAAACATTTGTAGCAAGTCAGGTAGCAAGTATAAACTTCGTTGCTGAAGGTTTGTGAATGTTTATTGAATGTTTTGAATGAAATCATGCATTTTTATAAGTTATATAACGGATGGGTACACGTACTGTGGAAAAGCTTTATAGCTCCATTGTAATAAGAGATAAAAAAGTGTTTTTGGGGATATAGTACTACAGGATATTTTTCAAACGCTTGGCTACATGATTGATAATTTTTCAATATGGAACACCTTGTATTTTTTCACATATTTCAATTTATCGTTATCTTGCCTACGCATATGATTTATTTTTGAAATGCGTCTGCGGCGTTATTAAGTCATAATTGGAAGTTAGTTCATGAAAAAGGCCTATATCTCCAAAACTACAGACTACTCATAAAGGAACTATATGGTATCAGATAATAGAGAATCGGAATAGTCATGCAGTTCCACTAATTCTAGTATAATATACCTTGAAATAACAATAAAGTTATAACCAATCGAAAAAGTCAACTCTGGCAGTTTATTATGAATCACCCTGTAAGATAATTCTCAATTATGACTTCATTGGAGCTCCGAAGTATCATAGTAGTTCAAACATTATTCTGGGTGAACATTTTTATAAATGAAGATCAACAGGCACGTGGAACCAACATCTGCGTTTTATAATTTTTCGAAATAATTCTAATTAATCAACAACGCCACAAACGAATTGCAAAAATTAGACATAGGTGTGTGGGCAAGATAACGATAAATCAAAATATGTGAAAAAAAAGAAGGTGTTCCATTCAAAAAGAAAATCATCAGTCTTGTAGTCACGAATTTAAAAAAACACCCTGTAGAGATCAGAACGATTTTGCTTCATGGAACTAACGATATTGTACTATGAGTATCCTCAAGAAGATATTCTCTATCTCTTCTTGCAACGAAACCGACTGTTTTTTTGCATTGTTATTTAATGTTATACAGGGTGGGTCACGGTCGATGGCACCTTAGACGTTTACGGAGAACGGGACATAAGATCATTCTGAAAATTTGATTACTCAAGTAATTGCTCTTGATCTATCGATCTAAAATATTTTCAGCTCTGCGGCGTTGCCGCTTCTATCGAAAAGTAACAACAACTTTGTTATTTTAAATGGAACACCCTGTATTTTATTGCATTTTCAGATTCTCTCTGAAGAGCTGATTTCATCGATGTATCACACTTGGGGTCTAGCGGAAATGATTACAGAGATATAGGGTGTGAAAAATCGACATTTTTCAACTTTAGGAATTTTTTTTGTCGAAACTATTCATTATTGATTAAAACGGCTCACATGTCCCTATCCCAACTTTTGATCAACTATCTACTGACATTTAATTGAAACAAATACAGGGTGGTGCAGAATTCAGATTCTTGATCACCCGGTATATGTCCCAATTAAATATCAGTAGATAGTTAATCAAAAGTTGAGATAGGGACATGTAAGCCGTTTTGACCAATAATGAAAAGTTTCGACAAAAAAAATTCCTTAAGTTGAAAAATGTCGATTTTTCACACCCTATATCTCTGTAATCATTTCCGCTAGACCTCAAGTGTGATATATCGATGAAATCAGCTCTTCAGAGAGAATCTGAAGATGCAATAAAATACAGGGTGTTCCTTTTAAAATAACAAAGTTGTTGCTACTTTTCGATAGAAGCGGCAACGCCGCAGAGCTGAAAATATTTTAGATCGATAGATCAAGAGCAATTACTTGAGTAACCAAATTTTCAGAATGATCTTATGTCCCGTTCTCCGTAAACGTCTAAGGTGCCATCTACCGTGACCCACCCTGTATAATTTCCGAATTTTCATTATTGGGTGTGGAGTCCCATTTTTCATATAATTGATTGTCATTCAAAAATGTTTCATTTTGTGTTTGAAATTGTCAATATTGTCATGTCAATGTCAAATTACCACTTTCAATTTTCACATTTCTGTGTCTTTCCTTTCGATGGTTTGATTGCAGTGAGATGAAGCTCAATTGAGTAGATCTACAAATTAAATGTTCACTTTTTCCTGATGTTGAACTTATAGTAATGTTCTTCTGGCTTCTCAGCCGTTACAAATTTTGTTGATTGTGAGGCTGGATTGATCATTAATTATAACGACCCGATTATTACATATATTTCTATTGTTGAGATGTTTTCTACATAACAGGTTTGTTTAACATCTGTACTACTTATTTGTAACTTTCTAGGTAGGTACTTTTTCATTGTGTCTGAAGATGGCCGTAGAGCCAAAACTATAGTCAAACTGATTATTTTTATATTAAATATTGTGGTCGACCGACTTTGAGAATGGATGGTTTCCATGACTCGAAACTATAGAGCTTTTTCACAGTACGTGGACACCTGGTATATATATATACAAACCTTCTTCAGTAAACTTTATTTAACTTCTGATTACTTTCGGGTGACCACTGGCAGCCATTTTGGAAAATTGCCACCACGGCCGTCAGAGGCATTTGACCGATGACTCCACGTCCAAATTTGTTCATATTATATCGGTCTACCTCTGTGCCAAAATTGGTGCCTCTATCAAAAATTGCACAATAAATTGGAATATTGTAGCTTTACTGCCGCACTAGAATAATTCGTAAAAATTCTCAATAGTAGAACCCATGCGTGAAACGAATTATGAAGATGGGAAGATGGCTTCGACGTCAACACTGATACAGGTTTAGGTGTTTCAGTTCAGTAAGACTTTTCTTTGTTGCGTTGATACATTCTGAACTTCCGAGATTCTTGAGTGTAAAACCAGTGCAGTGACATTATTGCGGAGAGCATCTAAGTATAAACTAATGGTAAACTTCGATATCGACTTCTATCGAGGTGTTTTGTGCGTACTAGCGGCGTGAAGGCAAGTATTGCTTTCAATTTCCTTCCATTTTCATTCGCATGAAACTGCTTGGAGTTTGGAGTATGCAGTTTGAATATGTCTCCTCAAAGGTTATTTGTGTTTGTTTGTTATATCATTTTATAACTCATATACCTATGTATTTTTTCTCATCGACAAAATAGCGATGAACATTGTTGTAGGATACTTCGCATGGTTCACATTTAGATTAGTATAGCTCAGCCTTCTTCCATGCAACCAGTTGAAGGAGCTTGTCAGGTGCAAGGGGTTGGTTGAAAGTAATGGGCTGTTGGCCGTTGCTTGTTTGCCTCCTGCTAAACTTCTCCGACTGTTTCCATGGAACTTTTCATGGAACCCATCCATAACAGCACATGCACAGAATCATGCATAAAATTTGTTCGTTTTCTGCAGCTTTAGTTGGGGGAGAAGTGACCATATATTATGAGCATTTATAAGCTGTAGGTTCGTTTGTACCGCAGCTCATCTATTGGCCTTGCTTGTTTCCATCGTATAAGGCAGTTATATATTTCTCACCAGATGATGAAACCTCCCTTTTCCTCGTTTGAAGAAGTATACGTAGAGCTATCTATCCTATCGACAGCGCAAGGCGATCAGCGATCAAAGAATTCCAAGCTTCAGTTGAGAACCAGGTTGGACGGAAAATCAAAGTGCTAAGATCAGATAATGGGGGTGAGTACATTGGTGCAGAATTTGTGACTTATCTAAGGAAACAGGGTATAATTCATCAGACCTCTAACCCTTATACCCCTGAACAAAATGGACGTTCGGAGAGGTTAAATAGATGTTTGGTAGAGAAAGCTAGGTGTTTACTTCATGAAGCAGGTTAAGGAAAACATTTCTGGGATGAAACCATCAACACAGCTTGCCACCTCAAAAACAGGTCTG